GAGAAGGACAGCAACCACCCCAAGCCAGGAAAAATGCTTTTCTTGATTTTGAAGGATGGAAATGGTGCTTTCCTCTCATCAGAGAACCACACAATTACAGCAGGGCAAGGGCACCCCAGAGGCACACGAAGGCGAGGCGTGGACTGACCTGGCGGAAGTAGCGGTTGCAGTTGATGTACTCCTTCTCGTGACTGTCCTGCAGCTTGTTGTGCTTGATGTAGAGCCAGAGCGCCTGCATGATGCTGGCACGGGTCTGGGTGTGCACCCCCAGCAGGCGAGCCAGGCGAGGGTCCAGTTTGTATTGTGGTGGCTGCAGGGACATTGCAGGATTAAGGGCGGATTTGGAACGTGGCCCCTCAGTGGGCACAGCATCCTACGCAGCCCTGGTGCTGCTCTAGAGCTCTCCACTGCTTTCTGTCCCTGTTCTGTAGGGCATAACCCAACAGCCTCCCTCATGCAAGACCCCACCCCAGCCCAGGCTTGTTTCAGCCTAGACAGCTGAGCTGTGCTGAAGGGCAGCATGGCATGGTGACACCCTACCTGGTGATCCAGCATCAGCAGCAGGGTGCACTTCACATTGACATCTCCAGGACGCTTCACTTGGAAGCCATCAGTCTCCTGGGTTGTGGGCAGACGGTGCCACTAGGAGAGAGTAAAGGGGCACTGTTTAACTTGGTCTCACCAACACTGATGAGCTCCAGCTCAGCTGTAGGCAGTTTAGGTGGACTAGGGGAGCAGTGGATTGGTTTGAGTGCTTGATTCCAACTGCTCAAACAGCTCCCAGAGTCACTGTGGGATCACAGTCCTGCTTCACCCATCAGAGGGGTTTGATGCCACAGCTGCTCTCAAACTATTCCACCTAATTTACCTCCAACAAGGGAGTACCACCACAGGAATCAGTATTTGCCAGAAGTACAGATTCACAAATCTGAAGGAGCCTGGGGCTGCCCAAGCCATCCATCAGAGCCATGTCTGTGCTGCAGCCTGACACCTCCCAGCTCCAGCCATGAACATGAGGGAGTTAAGAACCAACCCTGGGGCTGCCCTGGAAGCAAGCAGCCTGCTGCTGGGAGCCATCCAGGTGAGAGGGGCCAGACTGGCCTCACCGGGCTGCCAGCCAGCACTGCTGAGCTGCAAACTGCAGCCTAGAAAGTACAGCAGTGTGGTCCTCAGGGATAGCTCAGCACTGCTTTGCTGAATACAGTTGCTTCTCCACCATGAAGCATGCAGCAAGCCTTGCTGGTGCTGGGCTGGGGAGCTGAGCACCCGCAGGGTAAGCAGCAGGGCCACTTCCCATTGCACTGAACAGCTCTCCTCATCCCTCCTGGGGTGCAGCCCCACAGCACAGCCAGGCACATCTCACCTCCACCAGATGGTTGTCTGGCCCATACAGCTCTTTGTCCAGCTCGATGACGAGGCTCTTGAAAAAGGAAGAGAACTTCCTCTTCTGCTTGCTTGGCTGCAAAACATGGCATGCAAGGCTTGGCCTGACGCTGCCAACACCATGGAGGGGCCCAGCCCAAAACACCACCTCCAGCACCCAGGGAAAGACTGCATCCATCCCAGCCAAACTCTCAGCACAGAGCACCAGAAAAGCAGCACAGCCCTCCTCCCAGTGCCATGTTGATCCCTGCCCAGATCCTTACGTCCTCCAGCAGTTTGCCCTCCACACGTAGCTCCCAAGAGGCCACACGCTCACCACCCTCTCCTTCTTCTTTGGCCGGGGTGAAAGTGTTGGAGATGTAAATCCTCAGCTTCCGCTTTTGCTGTGGAATAGGAAAACAAAGAGGGGGGATGCTTGGAGCAAGAGAATGGCTGGCAGCACCCATCTCCTACCTCCACCCTGCCCAGCTGCTTGCCCTCCTGCCCAGCCACACACCGTCAGTGGTTTCTTGATGGCCTCCTGAATCTCCATCCTCTTCCGAGCGATGGTTTGGTCCAGCTTGCGCTCAAAGGCGAGGAGGTCCATGTAGGCCTGGGATTCTGGGACAAGTTCCCGGATCTGTCAAATGGTAACAGTCAGTCCATCACATGCTGAGCTGGTGCTGCATCCCATTCCAACCCCAGCATCTTTAGCAGTGCCAGGCTGACATCCCAGGGAGTAACCAAGTGACAAGTCTGGCACAGCAGCACCGTTTCACATTTCAATACTCTCCCCGGATCACAGAGCTGCACTGACTGGAGCTAATCACTGTACCTAGCATCCTGCTCCATGTCACAGGCAGGGACCATAAGCCTGCATTGTCAAGAGGAACCCCAAGGGAAAAGCTTGAGAATGACCAGGGGTCTGCATCTCAAGCCACTGCTGCTCCTTGTTTGCTTAAAGCCCTGCTTGCTTAAACTGTGCACATCCCTCTCTCTAAACCACAAGACTTTTCCAGGCCGTTTTAGGATGAAGCAGAAACATTCATCAGGCACCATGAGGTTCAATGAGATTGTCCTACCATGGGGACTTCATCATTCCATTGCCAACTCCTTCCATGCACCAAAGTGACACTCACCCTCTGTGGCAGGACCTTGTCAGCCATCTTCCTCCTTTTCACCCTGCAAGAAGCACAAGGAAAAGTAAAAGAAATGATCCTGCAGCAATCACAGAACACTGTAGATCTTTTGCCTGCCTGTCTCAGGGAACACAGCGTGGTGGATCTTTGGCCCCAACCCAGGCCATGCATGGGATGCTGTGGTGCCATGGGGATGGATCAGTCCAAGCCAGGTCCCAGGATCCTACTGCAGCAAACAGTGTGATCCAAGGTGAAAATGTCCCCATCAGCCACAGGACAGGCATTTCAGAATTGCAGGAAGGGAATGTAGAAAGGCTGTAAAAGCATCTAATAGCAGAAGCCTTTGAAGCAAGTGGGTAAGAAATTGTATCCCTGGGAGAAAGCTAAGCCAACTCTAGATGGGAAGGTCTGGGAGCACTAGAGCCTATCAAAGGGAAAGAAACCCAGTCCCTGGGTCCAGTTTGTTGTGCAGCTCCCAAGAATAGAGAGAAATACGTGGGGAAACGCTCTCTTACTCTGCCCCATTTTTCACTCAGTTGTGTCAGAGTCCAACACGCACAGGAGAGCTCCTTTTCCTTGGCAGCATCTAAAGCAGCAGGGCAGCAAATATGGCACTACTGCTGCCATCCTGAGGCATCCCAGGATTTAGCTGGTCCTGGCCCCCACCCCAGCCCTGCCACAGCCCGTCAGGAGCAGGGCAGCTCAGCAGAGCTCTGTGCACAGCCCTGAGCTCCCCAGCACAGCTGATCCCACACAGCCACAGCTTTATCCAGCTGCTGACGTCCCCGTTCAGTGGGCGAGGACGTCTCAGCCTTGTGTCCTTAATCCCCAGCTTGCTCTGGAGCACAGAACGGATGCACAGCCCTGGCACAGAGACAGTGGTGACTCCCTGCAAAGGGATCACAAAGCCATCAGCTCTGCTGTGCAGCAAGGGCAGGGAACGGGACCAGAACATCCATTAGGACTGAGGGACCTTGAGGAATAGCCTCCAGTAATCTAGAAACTCTCATGGAAACAAGAACAGGGCAAAGGGATTAGCAGCATCATAAACAAACGAGGAGCTGCTGGCAAAACTGTGCAGCTCACAGAGACCATTCCAAGTAAACAGCCATGCTGAGATCACAGATCTGGGGAGGATCCCTGCAATCTGCCAGAGGCTCTCTGCAGCTCTGCCTGCCTCCTGCCAGGGCTGGGAATTGAGTGTCCACCTACCTCTGTGCCTGCCCAGGCCAGCACAAAGCCCCTGAGAAGGGGGAAAGGCTCTGACAAGCTGGTGCTTAATCTAAAAAATACAGCTTTTTGGTTACCACTGGGGAGATCAGAGCGTGGGGAAGCTGCAAGCCAAGCACCCCAGCCTCACCCACCACCCCAGCGCTGAGATCTGGCTGCTTTCCCACCAGCAATGGTGCCAACAACTGGGCCATGCTATAGGTTTTGGTGGAGAAATGCAACCAGAAGGCAAGCAGCCAGATACAGAGAGCGAACCCCTCCGCTCCAGACTGGCTGAAAGTGCTCCTGTATCAGCCCTTACCCTCTCCTCTGGGTGGCCATGGGTGGCTGGGACTGGGGAGCCAGCAGGCGCTTCCTGAAGGGGTCCATCATGGACTGTGGCAGGCCGGGTCGCAGAGGGGATGCTGCTCCATATGGTGGTGCTCCTGGAGGTCCCACCTGCAGCCCTGCCATGGGCATGCGGCTGCCTGGCGGCATCCCGGGGCGCTGGCAGGGAAGAGAGAGAAGAGGGAGTGTTAAACATGGGCCCCCTAACCAGAGGAAGGACATCAGGAGGGTGGCCTTCATTCCTGGTGGATGTAGCACGCCAGCTCTGGCTGCATCCTTCTCCCCTCCGGGCACCTACACAGGGCATTACAACCCCCTAGAGGGATGTTTAACCACTTGATGAATCCCAGCCTGCTGCAGTTCTCGTGGTCCCTCTGCATCTCCTGCAGCAGAGCAGTTTGGCCAGCACCAGCACCGCCACTGACACTGGGTCTGCACCACGCACAGCCCCTGGGTGCTCAGCAAAACCTCCCAATGCCCCACTGCCGCTCATCCCTACTTGCTCCAGCATGCTTTGCCTGCACTCTCGGATTCTCTGATCCTCCAGCTCCCCCCTGGCAAGGAGCTGGTGAGGCTGGGAAAGCCACCAAGCCAGCAGAACAGCATTTCTTCCCCTCCAAAGGCTCCTTGACATGCCAAGACAACTCCTGCAGCTCCCCTCCTGCCTTCTGACCCACATCCTGCAGACAGAAACAGAGTTTTGGGGCAGAGGAGCTAGCAAAGCCAACTTGTTACCCCAAAGGGGCCAGCAGTCCAGCAAGGAGAGCTCAGCCACAGGCAACACTGCAGGCTGACGAGCTTATCTGCATGCAGGCATTAATTCCAGTGCAAATCCCACACCAGATCACCATCAGCTGCTTGCCTGGCTTCAGCAGCTTTTAGAGGCAGGCTCAGAGCCACAGTGGGTGCTTGGAGCCAAAACCCACTCACCTCCTTGCTGGAATAGCCCCAAAGCCTGTAAATGCAAACAACAGAAGAGCTGAGGCTGCTGGACAATATGAACAGCTCTTGCCCCACAGCCACGGGCATCCCTACAAAGTGCCAAACCCAGCAGGAAATCCCCCAAAATACATCAGTCCCAGTACGGAGGAGCATTCCACAGCTGGAAAGCCAAAAAGGAGCAGCCCAGGAGGTGGCAGGATGGGGACTGCAGGAGGAATTCATAAAACACACGCACGAAGCCCATTGCACAACCATCTGCTTGCTTTCACCTTTGCTTGGCTTGCCTTTGAAGCTGCTGGCCAACCTGCCTGCGCTAGGAGGCAAAAGCTTTTCCTAACAGCCCCCAGATGTTTTGCTCCCTTTGATCAGCCACGTTTTGGCAATGCCTCCCTGCAAACAGGACTGCACAGGCTTTGTCTGCAGGGTTCTGCAAGGCACTGCCCGGGGCTGTGCATGGGTACAGCGTGGCTCCAGGAACTGTGCTGATCTGCCTGCAAGGGCTAATGGACAACAAACGGGCAGGGAAAGAGGCTGTGACATTTGTAATGAGCAAAAAAGAAATATGGAAACCCTCAGAACGCAGCCTTTTTTTAGTTTCCCCAGGGAAAAAGGGAAGGAGGAATCCTCCACGTGCATTTCTTTCTCAGTTTATCCTCAAGATTTGCAATGAGCAGATGGAAAAGTGTCTCAGCAAAGCAAAGCAGCCTTTGCTGTGGCTCCCAGCAGGACTGCATGGCCAACAGCCCCCTCGCCTGAAGGCTGCAGGCTCCGGACACGCAAACAGCACAGCTGTAAATCTCTAGCTAAGCCATTAAGCAGCATTACAGCCCCAGCAGGGTGAAGACTCCAGCACCCTTCAGAAGCCCTGCAAACGAGCAGGATGCAAAGAGGGCTTAAATTCAGGAAATTTTATTAGAGCAGCTCAAACGGTGACCTTCCTTACATCCTTCCTGGCTAACAGATTTGCTGGAGGGCTCCATCCTCTCCCCTTCATCTGGGGCAGCACTGTTGTCCTACCCCTTCCAGATGCCTCTTCATCCTCCCCTCTCTGCCCCACGGCCTCCTCCTCCTCCTCCTCCCACTGCCAGCAGGGCGGACAAAGGGCAAAATCTCGCAAGCTCCGCTCCAAGGAACGAGCTGGATGGCATCCAGCCCTCCCCGCAGAGAATGAGTAGAGCCATTTGGAAATGGGACAAAAAACAGCTTGTTTCTGCTCCCTGCCAAAGCTGGAAGAACGAATCGGGCTGGCTGCAGAGCAGAGGTTCATCCCAGGTCAATGCACAGGCCTCTCGCATTTGGGGAGCTCTGCTGAGAGTCAGCTTCCATCGGGGCAGGCGGGGGCTGGAAGGCTTCTTGATGGACGCTCAGCCGCATGACGGGAGCCTCGCTGTGTGCCAAAGGGCTCCTCTTGAGGAAGGGCAGGCCAGAAAGCAGATGCTGGTAGCAGAAAGGAAAAAAAAAAAGAGGGGGGGAGCAATAACATTGAAGGGCAGATCTGCAAGAAGGGGACGGAGCGCGTTGGAAGAAAAGCAGTAACTCAGAAATCAGCCTCTGTCTTGTCTCCAGAGGACAGCTCTTCTCCCAGAGCCCACCAGCGAGGGGGGAACTTCCCAGGGGCTGCACAAACAAAAGGACCTTCTGCACTGTGCTCACCCCTCCCACTGTGCCTCTGCCAGGAGCGTGAGCAGGGTGTGTGCTCCCCAGGGCCACCAGCGTGCAAGAAGGCTGCAATGCACCGAGCACCAGCAGCTCCCTGCTGATTCCCCAAGCAGAGCCTTGAGGAGGGCTCATAAAACCCCCACTGCCCTGATGCACGCCCCATTTCCATTCAGCTTGCTCTTTGCACACTCTGACATTTGGGGGATGGAAGCCCATCGCGTGTCCTCACCCAGGAGTTGCCAGGGGGGGCAGCTTTTCCTGCCATCATCCCACAGCACTTCTCATTGTGACGTGGGCAAAAGCAAACCCTGCCCAAACAGGATCCCAGTTCTGCACTGCTTGGAATGAAGTGAGACCCCTGCAGCACACCCCAAAACACAAACCCAGGTCTCAAACCCCTGTGAGCATCCCCACCCTGGGGGAGGAGAAGAGACAAAGAGGACATCAGCAGGAGGTGCTGCTGCTGGTGAGGTGTCATCATTTGCTGCAAGCTCTTGGACGTAGGCAGGCTGTGATGCTCAGATGGGCCACATCTCAGTATTTCAGCAGCGGGAGCCTCAGCTAAAAACTGTCGGTGAGGAAGCAGTAAATTAAAGAGTGAACAGCAAAGCAACAGGCAGCGAAACCGAGCAGAACTGAGGACACGTGCTGGCGACACGTCAAGCACCAGCTGAGATATCCGGGTCCAGGCAAACTTGCCCACGTGTGGCTCTGCAGCTGCAGATGTTCCAGGTCAGAGGCTCCAAGCTGTGCAGGATGCAGTGCTCACACCAGGACCCACGGCACCACGATGCTCGGGGGAAAGGCCACATTAGTGAAGCTTTTTCAGCAGCTTCCACGCCGCAGGGACTTGGCGAGAGAACAGAAGGGATGCACGAGTTACAGCCTGGGACTTTCACCTCGTGCTCATGTCCATGAAGAGCGCAGGATTTGGGGAGAAGGAGGTGTAAAACAAAGAGCAAGCTGAGGAACGGAGGCTGCAGGAGGCAGAGAAAAGGAGAGCTCAGAGGATTTACGCCCTGAACACAGGTGTTAATGCAAGCAGGAACAAGGAAGAAAGGTGTTGGGTTCCCACTTGAAAACGTGGCAGCCTCAGCAATACAACGTGGAGGAACCCATGGGAAGAGCAGTGCCTGGTGGAGAACACTGCTCAGATGTGCAGGGAATGGCTCTGAGGGTCCCCACAAGGATCCCGTGGAGGAAGACAGAGCAAAGGCCTCCAGCAGCAAGCTTTGGAGATGCTCTCACCGAGCAGAACCTCCACGAGCCTGCAGGAGAAACAAAGGGCGCCCTGAGCTCTGCTGCTGCCTGCTTCCCTCCAGCCCTGAGAGGAGAGCATTTCTCTGCTTTGTGTCATCTGCTGGATGCTCAGCCTCTGATGAAACCTGCCTTGGAAACGGTTCCCCCTGGGAAGGGTGGGTCACACAGCAATGCAATCCCTGCTGTGTGCTGCAGTTCCAGCCCTGCTGCTGTCCCCAAGCCAACCACGGAACAAACACCCTGCTCTCCTCTGCTAATGGGATACAGCAGATCTTTTCAGGGGCAGAAAGCCCTAAGTCCTGCCTGGGCCACGCACAGCCACGCTTCCTCCGAAATCACTTCGTTAGCAGTTGTTTGGATTGCAGCAGCCCTTCCGTCCCACGGAAATGGGATTCCTGCTTGTCAGCAAGTGCCAACGAAATGCTTTTAACATGGCACTTCACTAACTCTGCTTTTTGCCACTGATCTGCGCCGGCAAAGCGACAGCACGGGCTAACTTCAAGGCCAGAGCAGCATTTTGCACAATCCCTCCTCCGCTGTGTCACAGAACCCATTCCCTGCCACTGCATCAACCCGAGAACTCGGCAAGAATCTCCCAAGCCTGGCAGTTGCCCCACAACAAACAGAAGAAATTCCTGCTGAGTTTATGCTAACCTGAGCCTTGGGATGGGGATGGACACACCGCCAAGCAGCTGATCGTCCATCGCCTGAGCACACTCACAGATCACAGAATGGCCAGGGTTGGAAGGGACCTCAAGGATGATGAATCTCCAACCCCCTGCCACATGCAGGGCCACCAACCTCCTCATTTAATGCCAGCCCAGGCTGCCCAGGGCCCCATCCAACCTGGCCTTGAACACCTCCAGGGATGGACGGGGCATCCACAGCCTCTCTGGGCAGCTGTTCCAGCACCTCACCACTCTCATAGCAAAGAACTTCCCCCTGACATCCAACCTCAATCTTCCCTCCCTCAACTTCAAACCATTTCCATCATCCTGCTGTTATCTACCCTTTCCAAGAGTTGATTCCCCTCCTGTTTGTAGGCTCCCTTTAGGTACTGAAAGGTTGCAAATGATTCACCCCGCAGCCTTCTTTTCTCCAAGCTGAACAAGCCCAGCTCCTTCAGCCTGTCCTCATAGGCGAGGTGCTCCAGTCCCCTGATCATCTCTGTGGCTCCTCTGCACCCTCTCCAACAGCTCCCTGTCTTTCTTGTGCTGGGGGCTCCAGACCTGGACGCAGTTCTGCAGATGGGGCCTCACAAGAGCACAGCAGAGAGGGACGATCACCTCCATGTCCCTGCTGGCCACCCCTCTTTTGATGGAGCCCAGGACACTCCTGAAAAATCCTCTCCTTTCTGCTCTGGAAACATTGGTCCCAGTGCCACAGGGAGTTGTCCTTCCCAATTCCCTGCTTGAGATGCTGGTGAATAGCCAGACAAGCAGGGATGTCAAAGGATTAGCATACGTTTAATAATCCACTGATTAAAGAGCCCCTAAGCACCCACTGGCATAGATGAGGGCTGTTGTGTTCTCTAGTGAACATAATGCAGCAGAAGGAGCCTGACTCACTCGATACCCCCTGAGAAGTCCTGCAGGCACCGCAGCGCTGACCACTTGGTGGGGAGGAGCTGCTTTGCACTGCCTGCAAATTGCAAAACAAAGGGCAGACCCTGTGGATCAGACCCCGTGGATCAGACCCTGTGGATCATCCTTGGAGGCATTCAGGGCCAGGCTGGATGTGGCTCTGGGCAGCCTGGTCTGCTGTTTGGCGACCCTGCACACAGCAGGGGGTTGGAACCAGGTGATCCTCATGGTCCTTTTCAACCCAGGCCATTCTATGATCCGATTCTACAACCAGACCCCACTCCCCCCCTGCTGCAGGACCAGCAAGCTGCCAGCCAGACACGCAGCCCAACACGACGTGCATTTCCCAAACGCTGCAGCACGCTGCCATATGCTCCCAGTCTCACCCTACCCCATCCATAAGCTCCCAACACCTGCCACGAGTGCAGCATTTTGGCCAGCACGGAAAGCAAGCATATGTGCCCCTGTTTACCCACAGCAGAGAGATGCCCGCTGGGTTTTGCAACAGAGGAGGTTGGGGAGAAGCTTCCATACGGTTCTGAGTCACATTACAGCCAACGAAGGGCCGGATTGGCTTCGCTGAGCCATCTCAGCTTTCACTTCCAGGCTTTGCAGCTTCATGGCTTGTTTCCTCCTTTTGTACAGCAAAGCTCCGGACTTGGAAATTCCCCCAGCGGGATGGATTACTTCAATTTGAACTCAGAACGCAGCGCGGAACGGGGCTCCTCCACCTGCGCACATCCCCGCGCCTAAAAAACCCCCAGCACGTGGGGCCGAACCGACAGAAAAGGCAGCAGAAAGAGCAGAGTCCACGGCTTGCCAGCACCGCAGCGGGTCACCCTGCCTCCCCCCACCCCCGTTCGTTCCCATAACGTCCACCTGCACCCCTCCACCTCCCGGACCCGGCAGCGCCCAGGTGGAGGTGGGACCCCCCTGTAACGGCCATAGGGCGGAGCGTTTCGTTAACAACTTTTTTTATTTTGGGTGTGGGGGGGAGGGGAACCGCCGCCCCACGACGGAG